CGGCGCCCGGAGCAAGGTAACCAGCTGCCCGGCCCGCGGCAACCCATCTCCCACCCTCCCATCCCCAACAACAGTTACCCCCAAATCCTGGTCACTCGTCCCTTCTCCCGAGACCTCCCGGAAGGCCACGCGTAGCCTCTAAAAAGCGCCCCCATCCAGTCCGCCTGCTCTTGCTGGCCGCCTGCGGGCCAGGTCTGGCGGGTGCTGCTGGTGAAGGAAGACACGTGGTCCTCACAGCTCGCCTTGCCCTCAGACACTCTGCGGTCCCGGGGGCACAGGGCCAAACAGCTCAGCTCCCCTGGGCCTGGGTTCCAGCGGCCAGCACAGCACCGTGTCCAGGGTTGCCTCCAACCCTCACAGGATCAGAGGGAGGGCGCCCACGGCCCCTGTGCCTCTGAACGCACAGTCCCTTATGTATACCCAGCACACGCAGGAGTGCGCCCCACGCTCACACACACAGACACGCACACACAGACACGCACACACAGACACGCACACACACCTCCCCTCTACCCAGAGTCCCACCCGGTCACTGCTCACGCCTCCCCCTGGGGCCTATCCAGATACGCCGGCCCTTTCACCCAGTTTTTGGCAAAGTTTAGAAAAACGCGGCCGGACTGACGGGGAGCTCCCCGGGGTGGAGACGCGCCTCCCTTCTCACCTGGTGGCATCCCAGCCTCCCCTCTGGCTGGCAGGTGTGCTGGGCGGCCCTTCCTGGGCCAGGCACCGCGTCCTTCCGGGAGCCCCGCTGGGAATCCCGCCGCCTCCTGCGCTCAGCCCACCTGCGGAGGGTCCCCTGGCCGGAGGCGCATCTGAGACCCCGAACCTGGAGGCCAGGAGCCTAATGTCTCCCTCTCTTGCTCTTTGCATTTTAGGTAACAAATAAGGATGCGACTAAAATCAGCGTAAGTGTGGAGCCCAGCGCGGGCCGCGGGAGACCCCTTCTGGCCGCCTCGCGCCCCGCACCTTCCTCCCGGTTAGAAAGGCTTAGCGGCGCGCGAGGTCGGGACTTCCTTGCAACCCCGCATCGTGTCCGGGCGCCGTCTGTCGCCAGGAGCGGGATCGGTTTCTCTTTTGTATACAGAGGGTCCCAGGCTCGCGTGTCCTTCCTTCCCTGTGCGCTCACCTGTAAACCTCTCCTTCATCCATGGCGCGCGCTCAGGCCCTGCGCAGCGGCCTGCGTCT